AGGTTAGGCCCTCTGACTATGAGGCGCCGCAAGCTGCAATGGGGGGGAAGCGCTGCGGCTAGGATGGGATAGGAGGCTGAGCGCCACGGCTAGAACAGGCTGAGGGCCAAGCGCCATGGCTAAGACATACTTGGGAAGTTGCCGTTTGGGAAATAGCACGTTTGGGAAGTTGCCACTTGGGAAAAATCCTTTGGAAAAGTACATAACATCAAATACGCGTTATACACCCCTGTACTTTTGACGACTTGATTTTGTTTTTGTTACTTACTTCACTTGAGTCGAACAGTCGTCTTCCTATGTCCTAGTTTTCTGTGTCCCACTGTACCCCTGAATATCTAGATGTTGGAGAGGAATTTAAAGAGTTAGTTTGTATAAAGATAGATGAGGGAAGTACAACCTTTACTCAGTTCTCCCAGGTACGCATTAAAGGGATTGATCTCAATTTTTTCAATGATTACATATTATGATTTTAATGGTGGTTTTATAGTCATAAAACTCATTTGAACATATAACCCATTGACAATAGTACACATGTTGCTCACTTTTACTACGTTACTTTAGATCGTTTTTAAACAAATCCCAACCCTACTCTCTAGCACTAGAATTATATCATTTTCTTCTCAATGTATTTCGCCAAAAACTTTGGCATCATCAGGAGTTTGTCCTATAATATATATAACAGATATAAGCAAAAAATAGAAATAAATAATACAAACAAAGCAACTCAAATAAACAAAGAAGAGAAAAAAATTAGAAATATTTTTATGTAATAAGGAATTTTTCAAAATGAATATTGTCAAAACACATAAAACTTAAAAGAAAAATTAGAAAACCATACCTCACTCTTTTGAATAGTATTGAATGACTGGAAAAGGATTGACTAGTTTATGGGCGTATGCAGTGGGGGGAAGGGGGGTGTTGAAGGTTGAAGGTTTACTACGTTATTATTTTAAAGCATTTCTTATACTTCGTAGGCAGTTTGGGTCTCTCAAGATGGGCGAATTTTCAGATTTTCACACATATAAATCTTATTTAAACTACTGTTTTTTTTGTGTATTCAGCTCGGACTGTTATATCCAGTTCTATTAATGGATAATATCCAATACGTTATATCCAGTTCTATTAGTGCATAATATCCAATACGTTATATCCAGTGTTAATAACATATATTGAATACTGTGCCAGTTATATCCAGTTGCACATGAAACTATTTCAGTTATACATGTACAGCTTAGAGATACTTGGGATTGCGATGTGGTCATATGGCGTCCCTTAAAGTGATTGATTGA